TTTTATATTATTTTTAATAATATTTAATAAAATTTTTCTATAAAACTTACTTTTTTTATTTAATATATTAGTTAAAACCTATCAAAACAATAATTTGTTAGTTAAAAAAAATTTTTTACAGGAAGAATTAATAAAATTTTACAAAAAATATATTTTTTTAAAGAAAAAAGTTTTAAAAAAGTTTTATAACGATTTTATGTTATAAAACTTTATTTGCATTCCTTATTTAGATAAGTATATGCATGTTTAATTAATTAATTTTAAATAAATCTATAAAAGGTAAGTATTATTTATAGATTCTTTTAATTTAATTTTTGTAATATTACACATGCATTATTATGTTATACATATGCTATAACATTACACAAAACGTATTCTATGTAATATATGTTTAAAAAATTTTCTTAAACTTTAATCGACGATATCTCAACAACTAATTGATCAAATTCAATAAACTTTTTTTATTTGAATTCTACAGATCTGTAGAATTCAAATAAAAAAATTTTCATTGAAATTGATCAATTGGTTGTCGAGATATCATTGATCAAAGTTTTGTAACCAAAATTCGGCGCAGTTTTTATTTGATATCCGGGTTAAAATTCTTCTTATACTTTGATCGATGATATCTCGACAACCAATTGATCAATTTCGATGAACTTTTTTTTATTTGAATTCTACTTATCCATAGAATTCAAATAAAAAAAATTTTCATCAAAATTGATCAATTGGTTGTTGAGATATCATCGATCAAAGTTTTGTAACCAAATTTCGGCGCAGTTTTTAATTGATATCCAGGTTAAAATTCTTCTTAAACTTTGATCGATGATATCTCGACAACCAATCGATCAATTTCGATGAATTTTTTTTTATTTGAATTCTACATATCCGTAGAATTCAAATAAAAAAATTTCATCGAAATTGATCGATTGGTTGTCGAAATATCATCGATCAAAGTTTTGTAAACTATTGCGGTGCAAAACTTTGATCGAACAACTAATCGATCGAATTTAAGTTGGGCCAGGTAATATCTGGGATCTCTATTAAATTTAAAATTTAACTCAGATCCCTTTATATAAAAAAAAACACGGTCAAAAAAAAATTGCAATGTTATAGAGATCCTGAATATGCATCGCGTCAGCAGTGCATATTTAGGATATCTGTAACATTACATTTTTTTTGCATGACCGAGATTCCCTCTTTAGTAGAAGAGAGATTATGAGGTATCAGTATATTATTAAGCCCATTTCGCCAGAAAGGGCAAAACTTTGGGTGGAGAACAGAGTTTTGTCCATCTGTTCTTGTAAATTGAATATCTCAAGAATGATGAGAGATACAGACTTGAAACTTTGCAAATATATGTAAAAACAGTAGCTGAACAAATGTTATTAAGAGTCAAGAGGTTGTTAACTTAATAAAATTTTCTGTAAATTGAGAAAAACGTGAAAATTATTGTGACGAAATTTTGTGTATAGATGATAAGCAGAAAGAGTTTTTGTCAAATAATTATTTTATTTAATGTAATAAATGCAATATATATTATAATTTATTTGTGTTCAAAGAAATTTAAAGAATGCATCTAATAAATCTTTATTTTATATGTCACTCTTATTTTAAAAATGTCTATTTCAAAGAATTTAAAAATAGATGGTTTTGATACTTTTTTATATATCAAAAATTTACTATTACAATGTTTAATATTGTCAAATATTATATTACATGTCTGAAATTATAATATAAGTCAAATGTTATGGCATAAGTTACATGTTACAATATAAGTTATATGTTATGACATATATCTATTGTTATAACAAATGTTAGTTATAGCTTGTTGACATATCGATCACATCTTGAGTTATGATTATAGATGCTACAAAAAGTTATATTACTAATCAATTTTCTGCACCTATAGTCTAAAGTGAATCACTTTACTTTTTTTAATTATTTTAACATAAATCTATTTTTAAATATGTTTATAACAAAGCTACATTAAAAAAGTTTTTAACATTAATATTAAATTTCAAGTTGACTTTTTACAAAACATATTATGAATTATTCAAAAAAAGATATTTTCATTATTTCATATTATGAATTATTCAAAGAGAGATATTTTCATTATAAGTAAAATATTAATACTAGGACATAAAAATTTTTGACATAACTTTATTTTAAATGTGTTTAAGAATAGGTTTATGCTAAAATAATTGAAAAAAGTAAAGCGATTCATGCTAAACATCTAAAACAAGTCTCCATTCTTTACTATTAAAATATATATATAAAGTCCTTAATACTAAATTTGAAAAAAAATTCACATATAAAATTTGATACAGTGCACCCTTTCAAATCCGATAGGCATGGTGAACAGCTTTTGTATCCGATGGCCTACCGGTCACATGATTATAAATAAATATAATTGGCTAGATATATTTATTATATATCTACTTGGTTACATAAAGCTCAACCCGAGCCAATCAAATAGATTTATAATACTTGACAAACCCGATATCTTATAAACTACCCTGGTATCGCCACCAAAAAGTTACTATCATGTGATTTTAAACAAATCAGATTCCAAGATCAGGTGTAATGTTACATAAACAGAAAATTTCAAAACAAACATTTGTTTTGTCAAAAATCGCCTGTAACTCGAGATTTTGCATAAGAAACTACCTTCTGTGCATTAGCAAAAAGTTTTCCTTGAATGATTTTGCTATTAAAACCTCTAAACCCAAACCTTAACATAGACCCTAACCCAAATCTAAATAAGCTTTAAAGAATTTTATCAAAGATCATGTGATAGTAACTTTTTGGTGGCGATACTGGGGAAGTGGATATCTTATAGGAATCTGATCTTTTGAGTATTGGTTATCAGAAATAAAAGGTTATCGGATTTGAATTATGGAACAGACATGGTGAATCAATTTTTTATTGGGTATAACAAGTTATTGGTTTTGACAGGATCGGTTTTGGGAGGGTATACTGTATACATCTATACATAGTTTTGATTTACATAGTTGAACTCATCTATCACATACGTATTCATTCAAAGAAATCTATGCATCGAGATTTACATTCAGATAATATTTTATTAAAAGAACAATATAAAGCTTATATTAATGTTTGATAAAAACAAGATCATATTTATTGAATTTTGCCATATTTAGCACCTGAGATCTTGAAAAGTGAACAATTTACTCAAGCTGCTGATATTTACAGTTATGGGATTATTATAATAGAACTATCAACTGGTCAAAGGCCTTTCGATGGTACAATTTTGATGCTGAATTATCAATAAAGATTTGTAATAGTTTGCGACCTGAATTTAATATAGGTGCTCCAAAATATTATGTTGAATTAGCCAAACGATGCGTTGATCCTGATATGAATAAAAGACCCACAGCTGTTGAGATTCTTAAATTGAAGCAAAAAAATACAGGTTTGCAACTAGTCATATACGGGAGTGCGCGTTATTTAGGAACGCGCATGAGCGTTATTTTGAGACCATGCATATATTTTTAAGGGTAAAGTATATGTAGATCATTTATCATATGATATGCATAGCAATTTTTTTTTGTGTAACAGATTACATAGTAAACACAAATCTAATTGGATAATCACCTGTTTTAGAAATATTTTTACTATGTTTTGTTTTGTGTAACCCCGGGAAATGTGAAAAATCTCTGGAAACTTTATGACATATATATGTTCATTTTTTAAAAATAATATAGCCTCCGAAAGTTTTACTACTATAAATAGAAGGTTTGAACTGTAAATTACCAAATTTTGGTAAAATTTAGCCGTGGCTTTGAGAATTTTTACTAGTGACGTATTTTACTTTATGCATAAAATCCCGTTGTACCACGGAGATCATATGATAAATGATCGACCTATACTCTACCCTTAAGGGGTACGATTTTCTAAATAACGCTCACGGGCGTTATTACGCGAAAATACGGTATGACTTATTTTGAATTTTCAGGTTTTCTTTTAGCGACACTCATTTACAAGATGAGTTTAAGTGCGGTACAGTGAAAATTTAAATATATTTATGGGATTTCCTTTGGTGACACTTATGATAAATCCACTCTATAACGAACAAAGCCTCCATAATACTGTAGCTAATTCGTATGAGAGGCGATCGTAGTATCAAATGGATGTTTTTTTTTTTTTTTTTAGCAAAGACTTCATTTACAAAGTCCCCAGAATACTGTAGCTAATTTTGTATGTTGAGAGGAGATCGTAGTATCAAATGGGGGGTTTTTTTTTTTTTTTTTAAAGACTCCATTTAATAAGTGTATGTGAATTTCAGAAGAAAATTATTTACAATTTATGTCACCATATTAATATATTATCGAAATAGACACATCTCATTAAAATTATTGTAAACCCTCGAAGTGAATTATATTGCCAGACTCTTATGATTTCTGATTATACAGTAGATATTACAAATGAAAAATTTATATATTATAATGTATAATAAATGAACCTATACCGAAAGTTTTATAAACATATTTATAATTTGGTTTTAAGAGGATGGGATCCAACGTTGTGCCAACAGTTTGACAATATTGTTACTAGAAATACACTCTGTTTCCATAGTCTAAATCAAAATATGAATCAATAAATATGAATCAAATAAATATGAATCAAATAAATATGAATCAAATAAATATGAGGACAAATTTAACAATATTAAATCTTGTTAAGTTATACTAACCGAAATATATGGTTCATAACTGTTAACATAAAAGAAATTTGTATCTGGTTCTATTGGTGGAAATGTCTGATTTGGTATTAATCTTGGATAAGATTTCCATACTTTTCTAAAAGTCCAAGATCTTTCAGAATAAATCCCATCAAGTACTTCATCAGACATCTCTTCGTGCGAAAATATTTTACTCAACGTTTCACCATTCTCTAAAACAATTTTCACAGACAAACTGAGAAATTCAGTTTTACCACTATTTGTTGTCAATATTTGGTTTGGAAAATCTTCAACTTTTGTACGATTAAAATAAGCTGGATTTAAACGTCCTGTTACAAATGTGACATGAAGCGTCACATAAGGAATATCTTTCATTTCTAAATAAACATTTTCAAATTCTATTCCCGAGAATCGCTAGATTATTAGATCAAAAATAAGTATTGGTTAGGTATCGCTGGTATTATCATCATCATAAAATCACATTTATGAAAATAATGAAAAAAATTACAATAGGTGCAGCCATGATAATTGCATCAAATACTTGGGTAGTTCCATTTATTGTTTGCACCATATATTTCACAGATTCTTCACCATCATTTGTTGTCCGCAATTTAGTTACTTTTACAACTTTAGTATTCAAATTCAAAGTCGCACCAGAGTGCTCAATAAACTTTTCGAAAAGTCGATAATTTCCACCCTTAATACTTTTTGCGCCTGTTGGAGCAAGACTAATAAATGCACCCATTGCATGAATTTCACCTAAATTTTGGCCATAATTAACACGACTCATAGGTTCAACCATGTGCTGAAGATAAAGTTGATTAATATTCTTTAATTCAGAGAAATAATATTGAGCAGTAAATTTTCGTTCTAAATCAAGGTGAAGCCTTTCAGCTTCTGAATCAACACTTTTAAATGGTTCTTTAAACTCATATGTCTTCAAAAATTTTGAGATTGTTGCACTGACTAATCGTTGAACCTTAAAAAAAATAAAGTTAATAAATTAATATACAAAGTAGAGGAATGGTGAAAATTATTTATTTATTTTTATTTATACCTTAATAGGAGCCCAACCATATTTCCAAATGAGTTTAGAAATATCCCAGTATGAACTTGAAGATTGTTCGAAAACAAATTGATCTCCGTCCCATCTATGAAAAAGATAGATACATTGGTGCTTTTTTTAATGAATAATCGAACATTAAGTTTATGATTATTATACCAACATTCCAGCTTTTGGATTTTTAAGTTCTTCTCCATAATTAATAAATTCCAAACCAAATTTTATAGCAGAATTTGTCATATGATAATTAGCATCAATAAATATGGATGCACCTAATTCAACCAAAACCTGAGTATTGTCACGTGTATAGTTAAAAATTAGTGCACGCCCTCCAACTTGTGATAATTGTTCATAAACAGTAGTTTTAATTGATGTCGACGAATTTGCAAAGGCTTCAGAGATCCAATATGAAGCAGAAGAACCACCTGCACCAGCACCTAACAAATCAATAAACATTAGTTTCACAGTATCGATGAAATATAAGTGTAGATGAGTGAAAACTAGGAGATTTAAAGATAGATTACTATAAAATAAATATTATTCTATACAGTCAGCATAAGGGAAGTCACATCCCCGTGACTTTCATCCTTTAAGGGCAAATCGTTTGATCGGTCTAATGTAATGTATGTGGCATTATATTTAGTTGAGACTAAATCACTCTCCATATATTTTTTTATAAGTGCATTTTTTCCAGACAATATTCATTTATGGGGGGTCAAATCTATTCATACATCCTGGTTTTCACTTGGCGACACTCATATTAATATGTTAATCACATACCGATGATTGCTACAGTTTTTTGCTCTTTATGATTTGGTGCTTCAAAATAAGCAACATTTTGTGCGAATGAAAGATTGACACAAAATAATATCAGTACTAAGTAAAAAAGAATTACTGATCGTAATACTCGTAAGTATTTAGTGGAAGCCATGAACGATTCAAAATAGTTAGTGAAAGCCATGGACAAGTTTATATTAATTTTTAAGTTATCGTATGTACGTACGACGAAACAATGCTTATATTGCAGTATTGTATAAAATAGTAAATGTTGATCGTACCAATAAAGGTTACGTTAATAACTTCTCTATAAATACATATATGTACGTACGTACGTACGTACTGATAAATCGTTTTCTATAGGTGCACGTTTTCTTGAGAGATGGATTGAGGTTTGGTTTTCTCTTGTTTAACATAAAAGGCCCAAGAGTTTATGATAGTAGAGAAAAAATATTTTATTGGCTGTCATAAATAATAGCTTTAAATAATAACATTAAGTAGTCTGTGAAATATTGTACAATAAAGGCTACACAACTAATGCCCGATGTCGTATTATATGCATACGTACGTATACGTTTACTATCGATCTACCAACCTTTAACATAACAGGCAATTTATTATTTTTAATGCATAACGTTTATAAAACGTTAATAAAATAATAATCAGATATATATATTTTTTAATGAACCATATAATATCTTACTCTTATTACTATAAACACTTTAGAATGCAACAGAATAACTGAAAACTATGAGATTTAAATGCTTTTTTTTAACGAATAAACCATACTATTTACTAAATTTTCCTCTTCCGGAAGATGAATAGTTTTGGCAGATGTATTTTCTTGAGCTCTATGTTTCTTAAGTTCTTGTTCTCTTTGTGCTTTTTTAACAAGTTTCATATAATTTTGATAAAGGTTACGTTTAGCTCTTACTCCTTCGACTCCCACAAGATTAACTTATTAATTTATTAGTATTAATATCAGTATCAATATTATTATTTTCTTGCAAAAATAATAAATCATATTTATACATACCTCGTTCTAATGATTCATGAAAAACTCTAACTCGGCTATCTTCAAAATTTTCACTGACCACTAAAGCATGTTGTGATACTCCCCATTGCAATAATAATGTCTTACTTTCATCTTCAATAGTCATTCCGTTATCATTTTCATTTGCACAAACGAATAACTTCAATTTCTTAAATCTAATATTTGTAACCTTAGATATCATATCTTGTCTAGCATCAGAATCTACATCTGGGTGAATCCAACAAACGATTAATTTTAGCTTTTCAAGGTTGTATAAGGAGGATAAAAGTTCCCATTGATCTGATTTATCAAATTTAACATTGTGTAATGTTATAGATGTTAACGTTCTTGAAGGAATTGGTGAGGCTAGAAGAGGAAGAAGAAAATGAATGTCTCCTTTATTTATATAAATTTTTCTAAGAAATGGTGTATTAGAAACGATGGTTGAAAGATGTTTGTTTATCTGAACTTTTAAGGTTTTTAATGTTGACTAAATTAATATACAATGTTAGGTAATTAATAACTTATTTAAAAAATCAAATACAACTTGACAATAAACTCACAAAATCTTTCCATGCATTGATCATTTCTTCAACTTCTTGTTCTTCAACTCCTTCAATATTTAATTTTCGTATACTCTTAAATAACGTTTTGAATTGTTGATCAAATAATATTTTCGAACAAACATAGTATTCCCACCAATACGTTTCATCATCCATTCCATCAATTATGCCTTTTCTCAATTTCATTTGATTATCATTCATCCCTTCAATTATAACTCTTCTAAATTTCATTTGATTTGAAATGAATAGTTTTAATAATGATCGTATTATTAATTTTAAAAAAATTTGGGTTGAAGGTTGTAAATCATAAGGTGATGATTTAAACCACATTATAGTGGATATGAATAATCCTTTATATGACAATGATTTTATATATGAAGGGTAATTGAATGTTGGTTTTTTAAAATTTTGTAAATATTTGAATAAAGTGGATGATGAAGATTTTGTCTCAAAAAAATTTGGAACTTCTGTTTGCATATTTTCACATAATTCGGTAATTTGTTCTTTATTAAAACATGATAATAATACTTCAATAATTTTCCCCGAACTTAACGGATATTTCGTACATATTTCATTAAATGCAAATGAATTTTGCCAAAGAATTGGAATTCCGGCTTCGCACCATTTTTTGTTCACTAAAATGCAATGATATAATGATTTATAATCATATGGATCTTCTAGTTGAATTTGTGAGATTATGATGGTCAAAACATCAAAATCTAGTGAAGGTGTCATTTTTTTAAATTTGGTCTGTTTTAATAAACGTCTTGTTATAAAAGTTAAAAAAAAGGACAAGTTCGTATTTATAAAATTCATCGATCATCTTTGTACATATGTACACATGCTCATATTTGGATTGCGTCACTATGCATGATCACTCAATATGTGCCTTATTGGCTATTAATAAATCAATTGCATTTAGGCTGTTTTTTTTTCTTTAGAAAGAATATAAGCGTTACCATTTATTAATACGTAGTAATAAGGAAAAGAATAAATTCTTTACATCTAGTCTAGAATCGACCAGGGCGGCCCCCAGAATGCAGATAAATAGTGCAGCCGCAGCATAATAATAGCCAATCGGTGACAAGCTTTAAAACCATTTAATCAGTATTATACAATTGTTCATGGAGAGGTTTGAGGTTTAAAATTGATATCGATTATTGTTCGTACAACACAATACGGTTGGCTGCGCCATCGATCTGCACTTTTGGGGTTGCCCTGGTTGATTCGTCTAGTCTAGTATATTAAAATACAAACGTGTGTTACGGTAAATAGCGATCTGTGCTCGGTGTATAGTCACGTTATGATGGTCGTACGAAATTCAATGAACTAATGTTCGACAATCAAAATTGATTAAACAAATTTAAAGTCTTTTGTTAACAAACGGGATAGTTTTTCTAACTTTAGATCAAGTTTTCTCGGTTTTCTCAGTAACCACCTAACTAAATACGAAGAAATTTTATTATTTTATATATTTGTAGAATTGAAATAAAAAAATTACATTGGATTTTGTCAGGTGGTTGTCAAAAAAACTTCACCAAAGTTTTAAAATATGTTTATTGATAGAATAGATTTTTTTTAATTTTTAAGTGAATTTTTCTTTATAACCACCTAATCAAATTTTTATTTTTCAATCCTACATATTTATAAAATTGAAATAAAACTCTTTTCATAAATCTTTTATACAAACTTAAATAAAAATTCGTATATCATAAAATTGCTAATATCTTAATAATTTATTAAGAAAACAGATTTTTTGTTGTTTAAGTAAAATTGCTCCTCTCATAATTTTACATATATTTACAAGTTTCAAGTCTTTAGCTTGAAAACTCATATTAAAAATTTATAAAAACTAGCTTTGGTTTCCCAAATCAAACTTTTATTTATTTCTTAAAAACTACCTTTACAACTCTTTTTGAACCTTAAGAGGAAGTTGTAGAGTCATTTGTTCAGTTAAAACAAGTTCTAAATAAAGGTTATTGATCTAAATTTGACCAAGTTACAACAAAAATAGTCTTTGCTCTTTTTAAACTTTTACAAAAATGTTTTATCTTTTACTTCATTTTTTCTTCTTCAATTCATTTTTTGTGTAATTTCAAATCACTTCTAAAAATAGTTTTAATTAATTTTACTTAGTACACTTTAATATTTTCTTAAACAGTACTAATTTTTTTAATATAAATTTATTGATTTCTTTATTAGACAGGAGTATTGTGTTTTTTAGATATATTACTGCAGTTGCTGCAGCTGCTGCAGCTTATATAATCTTGTATAACTAGATATTCTAATGTGTTACAAATATGCTAATGTGGTTAGTGTAGCTGGTATAGCTAATATAGTATAAAAGTTAGTTATATATTATATAAAATATTGTATAATAGTATAGAATTTGTTTTTTTTTTATAGTTAAGGTTAGCCTTTTTGGTTTTTCGCTTTTATTAGATTGTAAAATCATGTGGTGTTTTTTCAAGAAGGCTTCAGACAAGTATATGCTTATAAGAGTATATTCTAACCATACTTGCATCTTTTGAGCACCTAATTTAAGTAGTCTGCATATTACTAGTTTATATATTAGATGTCATATCTATAACCCACCTATTATTTGGATTACTCAATTAAACCTTCTAATTTGAGTTTCTTACTATATACCAATCCATCTAACATTATTTGAAACATGTGATACATTAGTCAGTTCAAGTTCTAAGATTATTACACACTACCTATAGAACTACTAGCATAGTTAACCAATTCATTCTTGAGTATATTATCTGCTAAAGCAGTCCAGTATCTACTATTACTATATTATCTAGTCTACTTTGATAACTTATACTAAGTTTGAAGACAAGTACTTGCAAGCCAAAGCTGCTATCATTATCTATTCAGCCCTTGTAAAGTTCATACAAACCTCAGTACTTTTTCTTCAAGACAACCCAGTATCTTGCTTTTCAGTACTCTCTAGCTGATCTTCTTAGACTACCAATTTAGATAGTTCAAGAAGACACTAGTCCCTTGGTATCTGTACTGCAGATCCTTTTTACTAACAATCCCAGTAGCCTAGTTGGTGAAGTACCTTTTTTCTAAATATCTAGTTCTTGTCCAGTTGTACTAGCCTTGGGTAAAGCCTATTTTTCATCAAAGGTTTGTGCTACTTTTCTACTTGAGTTTTGCCAGGTGAGCATTTATCTTTTCAGTTCTCTGAGTTTATATGATCACAAGGTTTTATCTTAAGTTTACACTGACTAATACCGGTTTACATGCCTTTGTATAACTTATATATTATACAAATGCTCTATGATCTCTCAATTTTGTTGATACTACTAAAGTTATAAAGAACCCATTCTAACCAATTATTAAAAAATAATAGTCATCATATAAGCAAAATATTCAAAATTTTATTGGTAATAAATTTCAAACCCCTATCTGCCAACATGCTGCTTGGGGATAAAAATTACAAGTTTATATTCATCTTTAAAATTTTTTTTAAAAGGTTTTTATCTTTAAAATGCAACTCAAGAATTGTCTTTCTTTGTTTGCATTAAATTAAATATTATTAGTATACATATTTGTTCTTTATTTATTGTTTTTTAATAAGTTTGTTTAAGAAATTATTTTTTGTAATTTATTTTAAAAGCAATATAAATCAGGTAAGATAACATCAAGTATTATTTTAAAGAATTTAATTCAAAGAATTGATAATTAATTTGGCTAAAGTTTTCTTTTAACTTTTAATATTATAGCTGTTTTTATTATTTTAGAACATCTAGTAAAAAATAATTAAATAATTATTTGCCAATTCAATAAATTATTGATTTTAGTATTTGATTAGTATTATAGTATAATATTTATTATTTACAGAGATAGTTTAAAGCCAAGTATATATACTATATAGTTTTATGTTAATTGTTACAAATAAAATGAAATTTGATTAAAATAAAACTGAAAACCTCTCATACCCACCCTTAGATCCTATAAAACCTACATATATTCATTTATTAATAAACCTAATTCTAAACCCTACCCTTAATATTAAAAAGAACTCCAAAAAAATGTTATACAAAAATTTTTAAATTTTCTTTAAAAAACAAAAAATTTTATTTTGATCAGATTTCATTTTAATCTATGATATCAACTAATAAATTAAAACTCACTTAATAGACAATTCTCTAGTTAACTGAATAAAAATTTTTTTTATATATATAAATTTTATTATAAATCTAAATATAGAGCTGCTTTATCTAAAACTTTTTTTACTAAGTAAATCATTCTTGGACTTGTATTAAGATGCATCTAATAATAGTAAGAATGTTAAAATTGGCTTAATGGTTCTTGAGAAATCTTTAAAAAACTTCTTTTTTGTATATAAAATTTCTTTAAAAAAAATTAATTTTTTTAAAAAAATTTTCTATATGAAAAAGAAGTTTTTTAAAGATTTCTCAAGAACTACCAAGCCGATTTTAACATTCTTACTACTATTAGATGCATCTTAATGAGCTTTACAACTTTTGTTACAAGTTCAAGAATGATTTACCTAGTAAAAAAAAGTTTTAGATAGGGCAGCTCTATATTTAGGCTTATAATAAAATTTATATATAAA